CAACGAGGGAGAAAGAATGGGTGAGCAGGGGGGGGCAAGAAGAGAGGTGGGGGGAAGGGACAAGAGAGGGAATGCGAGTATGCAGGAGGGGGGGAGAGAGGAAGGGAGGAGCAGGAGGAAGAACAGCAATCTTAAGAGGCGAAGGTGGAGATCAAGAGTACTAAGTCTAGCGTACATTAGCGAAGCTGCAGTATTGCCTGCCATCCAAGTCCCAAGCGCCGCCTGAAACGATGAGAGCCCGAAGGCTCGCCATTTAGGCAGAACGTAACACTTCTTTCTTTCGAGCTACAAGCACCGCAAAGAGGCCCGATCTTTAGATAAAAGTGAGGCTCCAGATCGTCGTTGAAGAAAATCTCCAAAGAGAACCTCGTATTGATAAAGGGCACACAAAGAAGCACACGATGGAACTGCCGAGCATCTTCGCCACAGAACAGATACCTGGGGTGGCATCGAGCGAAATCCCCACCTTGAAAAGATTCCGCCCTCAATCCGCGCTGATGCTGGGAAATTGTAGCGCGAAGGTGCGCGGCGCCAGCGCGAGAGACACATATTTAAAACAGATCGCCACCGATCATCCTTATGGCACCTGGGAGCTTGAAAGGCGCACGCGCGCGGCGCTAAGGCGAGAACCGAATGGTGGACATGTACCGCCCTCCACCCATGAACATGTCAGAAACGATTACGACGAAAGTGCGCGGCGCTACTACGGGAGGTACACGTCGAAGCGGCCTCAATACATCCATATAGCTATTGGGACTTCCAACATAACTGTTCCTGTATGAGGCATGCGTCTCAAAGGAACCGCACAGACCGCCCAACCGGCACGTCTAGCGGTGCGACTATATGGCGGCCTCCGCTGCCCCGATACGCAACACCTCACACGTAGCGTATTGCTATGGAGCTCAACGCGTAGACTATGTGCCAATAGGTTGTGCCAACATACGCCGTACTGACACGGACGCTTTGAGCACGGTGCGTGTTGCGTCTCAAGACGGGCGCATTGAGGCAGCTAAGATGGCGGATTGTTGAGAGAGGTGGGCTGGGGGGACCAGGAATCAGGATCGGCCGGGGTCCGAAGACCCAGGTCCATAAACAGGGAAAAAAGCACGGGGACGCCTGCGAGCGAGCGGGAGGCCGAGGAGAGAGCCGAGGGAGCGACCGCGACGCAGAACACGAAGGGCCCGAAGGGGGCCGAACGGGGGAGCCGAACGAGGAAGAAGAAAGCCGAAGTGGGACGAGAATGATATCCTGCTGTGGCTGGCTCAGAGCTGAGTTTCAGGAACTCTGGAGTGCCTAGCGGCCCTCGTTTCTGCAGCCTGCATGGAACACCGGGGTATCTGCTATAACCCTGGAAATCCTGGAACGCATGAGTTACAGTCGGACCACGGACAAAAGAACACGCTTGAAGAACATGAAGCCCTCCGCCGGCCCAAACCGCAGAACTCTCGAGGGTGCGCTCCCCCGGGATGCGCAGGAGCATCGAGCTAACACGATCAACTTTAGGGCACCCTGGGTTTCCTAACAAGCGTGGGGAGGCACCCCGACGGGGGTCGACCTCGCATCGTCGTCTCGCCGCGACGGAGGTCGGAGCGCCTTCGGCGCGCGGTGGCTGCCTGCGACGGGGGTCGATGTGGGGCTGCCGGCGGGAGTGACGCCCCCCCGACGCTGATTAAGTAACTAGAAGTACCCTCCCCGAACCGACCTCGATCATATACCTCTGTCCGACTATATTTAGGTCGGGTGTGTTCCCCTATAGGCGGATTTTGAACGAAAAATGAGAACAGTCACAACACAGGCAAAGGTAACCCAAACATGATCGACCCACGAACCCGGAAAGGAATGTAGAACTGTAACACATGGCAGCGTTTTCAAAGACACCTGATTGGGTGACGGGCAAATGCAATACTGAAGGTATCGATCTTGATGTACCCTGCCGAGGGCTGTGCTGTGCTGCACCGTGCTGAATTGCGATGTGCCATGCCGCGACTGTGCTCTTAGAAAAAAGATAACAAAAAAAAAACAATATCATATTTGCAGCAATGAAAGAAATAAAAAAGAAAAAAAAAATTAATCAAAATAAAACAAAACAAAAAAAAACAAAAAAAAGAAAAAAATAAATAAACAACAATGTAAGAAACGAAAAGAAAGAAACAAAAAAAAAAGAAAAAAGAGAAAAAAGAAAACAAAAGAAAAAGAAAAAAATAAAAAAAATAAAAAAGGAAAACAAGAAAAAATAGAAGAAAACAATAAAAAATAAAGCAGAACAAAAAAAAAAAATAAAAGAAAAAAGAAAAAGAAAAAGAAAGAGAGAAAAAATTAAAAAAAAAAAAAAAAAAAATAAAAAAAAAGGGAACAAATAAAAAAAAAAAAATAACAATAGAAAAAAAAATATCAATAAAAAAGATGTAAAAAATAAATGAAAAACGCCTCGTGGATCGAGTCCTCCCTGGCATCCGAGTCCTCACCGAACTGATCTGGAGCTTAAGCTCGAGCTGCTCAGGATGGTAGCTGCCCCAGAATTAATCGACAGAGGGAACATGCCAAGAGGACGCGCCGCGGAACGTCCCAAGGGACGCGCCAGGCGACGTGCCCGGGGACGTGCCATGGGCACGCACCGCGGGACGTGCCAAGGGGACGCGCTACCTGCCGACCAAGGGTGTGCCACGGGCATTGTGCCAGGGGACGCGCGACGCGACGTGCCAGGGGGACTCGCCAAAGGACTCCCCACGGAACGTGCCAAGGAACGTGCCAAGTTGCAATGCTGAGTGCATCGACCTTGATGTACCGTGCCGAAATCAGTGCTGTGCTGCGCCGTGCTGAATTGCGATGTGCCATGGCGCGATTGTGCTCTATAGCCTCGTGGATCGAGTCCTCCTTTGCATCCGAGTCCGGACCGAACTGATCTGGATCTTAAGCTCGAGCTGCCTGAACACATAGTGGCTGCCCCAGAGCTAATGGACAGGGGAACATGCCAGGAGGACGCGACGCAGAACGTCTCAAGGGACGCGCCAAGCGACGTGCCAAGGGACGTGCCATGGGGACGCATCGCGGGACCTGCCAAGGGGACGCGCTACGGAACGTGCTGGGGACAAGCGTTTCGCTCGAGACATCCTGTCAAGATCATCTGAATTCCTACGCGCGGGACGCTGCACGCGCGAGACATCCTCGGAATTCCTGCGAGCGGGACGTGAAAACAAGCATTTCGCCTGAGACATCCTTTGAATTCTGGCCCCCCACGAGGCCACCGCTCGAGACATCCTCCAATTTTGCAAAACCAGCGTTTCGCTCGAGACGAGACATCCTCAACAAATTATGAAAAACAAGCGTTTCGCTCGAGAAATCCTGTCAAAATCCAAGAAATCCAAATACCCGCGCGCGAGACGCGGCACGCGCGAGACATCCTTGGAATTCCTGCGCGAGGAGCGCTTTTCCGTGTCGCGGTCGGCTCTGCAAAACCAGCGTGTCGCTCGAGACATCCTCAACACATTCTGAAACCAAGCGTTTCGCTCGAGACATCCCCAACTCTGCAAAACCAGCGTCTCGCTCGAGACATCCTCAACAAATTCTGAAAAACAAGCGTTTCGCTCGAGACATCCTCAAAAGCATGATCGACCCACGAACCCGGAAAGGAATGTAGAAACTGTACACATGGGCAGCGTTTTCCAGACACCTGATTGGGTGACGGACAAATGCAATCTGGGTTCGATCTTGATGTACCCTGCCGAGGGCTGTGCTGTGCTGCGCGTGCTGATTGCGATGTTCCATGGCGCAACTGTGCTCTATAGCCCGTGGGATCGAGTCTCCTTTTGCTCCGATTCCTGACCGAACTGATCTGGATCTTAAGCTCGATCTGCCTGAACACATAATAGCTGCCCCAGAGCTAATGGACAGGGGAACATGCCAGGAGGACGCGCCGCGAAACGTCCCAAGGGATGCGCCAGGCGACGTGCCAGGGGACGTGCCATGGGGTCGCACCGCGGGACGTGCCAAGGGGACGCGCTACGGAACGTGCCAATGGATGTGCCACGGGATGTGCCAGGGGACGCGCGACGCGACGTGCCAGGGGGACTCGCCAAAGGACGCCCCACGGAACGTGCCAAGGAACGTGCCAAGTTGCAATGCTGAGTGCATCGACCTTGATGTACCGTGCCGAAATCAGTGCTGTGCTGCGCCGTGCTGAATTGCGATGTGCCATGGCGCGATTGTGCTCTATAGCCTCGTGGATCGAGTCCTCCTTTGCATCCGAGTCCTGACCGAACTGATCTGGATCTTAAGCTCGAGCTGCCTGAACACATAGTAGCTGCCCCAGAGCTAATGGACAGGGGAACATGCCAGGAGGACGCGACGCAGAACGTCTCAAGGGACGCGCCAAGCGACGTGCCAAGGGACGTGCCATGGGGACGCATCGCGGGACCTGCCAAGGGGACGCGCTACGGAACGTGCTGGGGACAAGCGTTTCGCTCGAGACATCCTGTCAAAATCATCTGAATTCCTACGCGCGGGACGCTTGCACGCGGACGCACCTCTCCAAAGTGGCCCGCACCCTGTGATTTATCGATCGGGATTTCAAAAACAAGCGTTTCGCCTGAGACATCCTCAAATTTTAATCCGCCGGCCTCCTTCGACCTCGATATTTATCAGGGAAAGAATCCGCCGGCCTTCTTCAAGTTGGGCACGGAGACATTGTTTACATAGGAAAAGAGAACCCTGGGCCTATGCCCTTTCCGGGAAAATGCTCAAACAGATCGTCCCCATACTATTGTTTTAACTATTTTCGGACATTCGTCCCGTAGAGGGACAGGCCCGACTTAAGACTATCTGATCCTGACCTTTGGTTTCTCCGATGATGCGCGCGGCGAGGGCAGGCACCGCGCGCGACGCGCCACGCGCGGCGCGAGGCTCTCTGCTCATCCCAGCTGGCCCGCCTCCTCCGTCGGGCGACGCCCTCCCGCGGGCTCAAGGCGCCCGCGCCGCGGAGGCCCGCGCACGCCCCCTCCGGCCTACCGGTGCCGCCGCTCGTGCTGATGCCGCCTGCGCGTCACCGCCGCCGTCCTCCTCCATCCCTTCTCCACATGGGGGGTTCCGGAGGCCCTGAACCCAGAAGTGCTGTCATCCCTTTGGGGGTCGACTTCTGCTTCCGCCGGCTGCCGCTGGCCTTCCGCCAGCTTCCGCCGGCCGGGCCGCTGCTTTCTTGCTTCCGCCGCCTTCCGCTGACCTTCCGCCGCTGAAGAGATGGCAACTCCTTGGGACCTCGAAGGCAAGGCCCTTTTTGGAACGCTCCACATAGATAACTACTGCCTGTCACACCCCGAGACGCGTTGGCAGGGCAGGCCTGGCGTTTCGCCTGAAACTTCCCCAACACTTATGATCTTGAAGCTGACAATTTGCAAGAGCTTCACGGATGGAGGGCGGCTCGTTTTCAGAATGTGGCTCTCGCCTCAGCGCCGCGCACACTCGTGCTAAAATTAGCAACGGCTTCACGGATGGAGGGCGGGACGTTTTCAAAAAGAGGCTCTCGCCACAGCGCCGCGCAAGCTCGTCCTAAAAGCTTGTTAGATGTTCGAATCGTATTATCATCGACGTCTCAGGAGCGATGCTCCGGCACGATTTAGGATTGCTACGGCGCAACAGTCACGTTGATTCGCGGTGTTACATCCCAGGAATGGTGATCTGGCACGGTCCAGAATTGCCCGGACGCAACAATGATGTTGATTCCCAGCGATGAAGTCCCAGGAATCGTTTTTTCAATGTTCTCAAACGGCTGTGTTGCAACGGGGCGCTTTCCGCGCCGAACACGAATCCTTGTAGGGACCTTCGAGGAGGAACCTGGGCGAGAGGCTGTTTGGCAACACCATTGATGCGTCTTGGGTTTACCCTGGTCCTCCTCATCCACCTCCTCCGCCTTCTCACTGCTCCAGCTCCACCCCGCCCCCCCCCTCCTTGACCAGAAGAACTAAGCACTCAAAAACCAAGTCATTTCGGAGCTCTGCGCGGACTTCTTGGATCGGCGCTGCGCCCCCCTCAGGGAGCGCGCCAGAGGCGTCGCGAGAGGCGCCGTCAGATCTAGCGCCGACCCAAGAAATCCAGCCCAGCTCAGCTCCTTCGATCCACTCCTCCTCCTCTCTCCTCCTCTCTCCTCTCTCCTCCTCCTCCTCCTCCTCCTCCTCCTCCTCCTCCTCCGCCTCCTCCTCCTCCTCCTCCTCCTCCTGCGCCTCCTCCGCACCCTGCTCCCGCTGTCCTCCTCCTGCTTCCCCGCACCCCTCGAGGCCCCCTAGATGGAGTCCGAGCAAATGGGGTCGAAGGATCGCCAGTGCATCGTCGATGAATCGGCGACATCGGCGTGGAGGAACTCTGGCTCCACATCAAGCTGCATCGTCCATGACGCCATACTTTTTTTGGCATGAGTGCCCGACGATGAAAGCTGCCAGCTTCCCAGCTGATGGGAAGGGGACTTTACCATGCTAGAACAGGACGACAAGGAAGAGTAGCACGGGGAGGAAAGAGAGAGAGAGAGAGATAGAGAGAGAGAGACATAGAGAGAGAGAGAGAGAACGGGATAAAGAGAGAGAGAGAGAGAGGGAGGATCGAGAAGCGAGATGCCTGATGCGGAAGACTAGCGGCTGGCACGAGGCACGAGCTGCACGGGCACAGTCGGACATGCATCCTGCGACCTCCTTCGCTCGGACCCTGCTTGGGAGGCCTGCGGCGTCTCGGCGGCGGCCCCAGCGACCCGCTGTGCCATGCCAGCGGATGGCGTGTCGGTCCGCTCCGCGCGGCGGGAGGCTGGGAAAGGCTCGGGACATCGACGGCTGGGGACCGGGCAGGGGATGACGTCTTGGGGATCGCAAGCAAAAAGCATAAACATAAAAAACCCAGAGGTCCGGGCGGATTTCTCGGATCCGCCATGGACCCCCCTCCCTGGAGCGCGGAGCGCGCCAAGGGCGGCGCCGCCAGGGCAGGCCCAGCGCGGATCCGAGAAACCCGCGCGGACCTCCGAGTTTTTCCCTACCTAGGCTCTGCCTAGAAGGGTTCTTACTCTCTTAGCTTAAAGGGGCCGGGCAATGCACAGCGCCCCGGGCGGTTCCCCCAGTCCCCGCCCCGCGGTTCCCCCCAGTCCCCTGGGAGCTTTAGCTTTAGCTTTAGCTTTAGCTTTAGCTTAGCTTTAGCTTAGCTTTAGCTTAGCTTTAGCTTAGCTGTAGCTTAGCTTTAGCTTAGCGTTTCGCTTAGCGTTTCGCTTAGCTTTTCGCTTAGCGTTTAGCTTAGCTTTCGCTTAGCTTTAACTTAACTTGAGCTTAGCTGTAGCTTAGCTTTAACTTAGCTTTAGCTTAGCTTTAGCTTAGCTGTAGCTTAGCTGTTGCTTAGCTGTTGCTTAGCGGTTGCTCATCTTTAGCTTAGCTTTAGCTTAGCTTTAGCTTAGCTTTAGCTTAGCTTCAGCTTAGCTTTAGCTTAGCTTTAGCTTAGCTGTGACTTAGCTTGAGCTTAGCTTTAGCTTAGCTTTAGCTTAGCGTTACTGTTACTACTAATGCTGCTTTCCTAGGGGTTCCAACTCCTAGGTAGGGTCGCACTGGGATAATCATGTTTATGTCATTGTTCGTTCCCCAACACGTGTGGAGCCGACGCATGGTTGGCTTGAGCCGGCGGAGCGACACGCTACTGCAGGCTCGTGTCGTGCTGACCTCGGCGTTGGTTCCTCACAGCGCGGGATTCGTTCCACCTGGAACGATTGGCCGTTTCCGAGACGCCAGATCCTTGAACATCGACCGGCTCTGGGTCGCCGGCGGCGTTCAGCGCTGAACGCCGGCGGCGACGGTCAACACGACGCGAGCCTGCCGTATCCATAAGTTCCCGACCATGGAATCCCCTCCACCCAAGAGGAGGAGGAGGAGGAGGAGGAGAAGGAGGAGGAGGAGGAGGAGGACGAGGAAGAGGAGGAGGAGGAGGAGGAGGAGAAGGAGAACGGGGGCACTGGAGAAGGATGGGACGGAGGATGGGGAAGAGGAGGAGGAGGAGGAGGAGGAGGAGGAGGAGGAGGAGGAGGAGAGGAGGAGGAGGAGGAGGAGGAGGAGGAGGAGGAGGAGGAGGAGGAGGAGGAGGAGGACCTCCTCATCCTCCCTTCTCCCCCGTCCTACCAATTGTAGTGGTGGTAGAACACTTGCCCATCACTCCACCCCACTTCTGGGCTAGCGCTAGGTCGGGCATGTCCCCCCACAAGCGGACTTTGGACGAAGAATGGCAAATAGTCCACAAGTCTTCAAAAATAGCCAACGAGTGTTCACAAAATCGCTCCCAGACTATTCTTGACGATTTTTGAACAGTCCCCCTGCAGAGGGACACGCCCGACGTAAGGCTGGCCCTGACGCCCTCCGGCCCAGCACCCCGAGCAGAGCCGGCCGCGGGCCCCCCCCGCGCCTCACACCAGGACGCTGCCGCCCCCAGACCTGCGAGCGACCGCGCGGGGCCAGCGGGCGCCCGCAGCTCGCCACCCGAGCCCCGCCCCCTCGCAGCTCCCATCACTCCTCCTCTCCTCCTCCTCCTCCTCTCATCCTCCCTCCTCCTCCTCCTCCTCCTCCCTCCTCCCTCCTCCCTCTCCCCTTCCTCCCTCCTCCCTCCTCCCTCCTCCTCCTCCCCCTCCTCCTCGTTCATCCTCTCTCTCCTCCTCCTCCTCCCTCCTCCCTCCTCCTCCTCCTCCTCCTCCTCCCCGTGCCAATGACCCCCCAGACTTCTTGGTTCTCGATGTGGTTGGGGACGCACGGGGCAGCCTTTAAGGACCCCTGCTGGGGTCCGACGAACACCCCGACCACGAGGGCCAGGGAGTGGGGGTCGGGGCGACAAAGGCTTAATTCGGCCAGCGAGTGCACGAAAGGAGCCTGCCATGGCTCGAGGCTGGGCCCGGGGATCCAGATTTTTCTTCCGATGATCGGGATCAGAGTTTGGGTTATGGGGGCAAAGAGCTACGGACTCACGAAGTTCGCATGTAACACAGCCGGTCGTTTCGACAGGAGCGACCAGGTCACACGTAGTTGAGCAGCGCACTGCAGCAACCACCACGCAAGTGGCCAGTCTGTGTACCATGCTCACTGCTTGCCGCTGCTTAGCCTACGGGTCGGGGACTACGGACCACTGCACAGCAAATTCGCGGTAGCCCCTGGCCCGCTGATTCGCACTGAAAGTGGTTGGGAGTTGGGGGGGGGGGAGGGGGGGGGGGTGGGAGGGTGGGGGGGGGAGGGGGATCACTTCCCATTCAGTATTCTGCCACCTACGCACCTTGCCTAAAGTGTCGGACTAAAGGACCACTGCATAGCAGTTCACCAGTAGCCCCCTACCCCGCTGATTTCGACTGGATCAGCCTGCCAGCTGCCGCGCGCGCAGCCATCGTCATGCACATCGCTATATCCGCCTGCCGCTGTTGCAGCTCTCGAGTCCGTGCGCGAGTATGTGAAGCACGATCGGGCATAGCAGAGCCTAAAACCACGGATAGGCCGGTACACCGAAAATGGGGATGTCAATCTTATGTTGTTCCCCTTCCAGATCTGCGTTGTTACGGTTTCCGCCTCGTGTTTCTCGGGGGGTATGATTTGTCCGCTTTTCCTCTGGTTCGTCCGATGATCCAGGTCAGAGTTTGGGTTATGGAGGCAAAGCGCTACGGACTCACGAAGTTCGCATGTAACACAGCCGGTCGTTTCGACAGGAGCGACCAGGTCACGCGTAGTTGAGCAGCTCACTGCAGCAACCACCACGCAGGTGGCCAGTCTGTGTACCATGCTCACTGCTTGCCGCTGCTTAGCCTACGGGTCGGGGACTACGGACCACTGCACAGCAAGTTCGCGGTAGCCCCTGGCCCGCTGATTCGCCCGGATCAGCTTCCCATTCAGTATGCTGCCACCTCACGCACATTGCCTATGAAGGGTCGGGGACTAAGGACCACTGCATAGCAAGTTCACAGTAGCCCCCGACCCGCTGATTCGACTGGATCAGCCTGCCAGCTGCCGCGCGCGCAGCCATCGTCATGCACATCGCTATATCCGCCTGCCGCTGCTGCAGCTCTCGAGTCAGTGCGCAAGTATGTGAAGCACGATCGGGCATAGCAGAGCCTAAAACCACGGGTAGGCCGGTACACCGAAAATGGGGATGTCAATCTTATGTTGTTCCCGTTTGCCCGCCACGCACGACAACACAAAGCCATTCATTGTACGTTTTAGCGAAAACCAAGAGGATTCTTCCGATGATCGGGATCAGAGTTTGGGTTATGGAGGCAAAGAGCTACGGACTCACGAAGTTCGCATGTAACACAGCCGGTCGTTTCGACAGGAGCGACCAGGTCACACGTAGTTGAGCAGCTCACTGCAGCAACCACCACGCAGGTGGCCAGTCTGTGTACCATGCTCACTGCTTGCCGCTGCTTAGCCTACGGGTCGGGGACTACGGACCACTGCACAGCAAGTTCGCGGTAGCCCCTGGCCCGCTGATTCGCCCGGATCAGCTTCCCATTCAGTGTGCTGCCACCTCCCGCACATTGCCTAAAAAGGGTCGGGGACTAAGGACCACTGCGTAGCAAGTTCAGAGTAGCCCCCGACCCGCTGATTCGACTGGATCAGCCTGCCAGCTGCCGCGCGCGCAGCCATCGTCATGCACATCGCTATATCCGCCTGCCGCTGCTGCAGCTCTCGAGTCAGTGCGCAAGTATGTGAAGCACGATCGGGCATAGCAGAGCCTAAAACCACGGGTAGGCCGGTACACCGAAAATGGGGATGTCAATCTTATGTTGTTCCCGTTTGCCCGCCACGCACGACAACGCAAAGCCATTCATTGTGCGTTTTAGCGAAAACCAAGAGGATTCTTCCGATGATCGGGATCAGAGTTTGGGTTATGGAGGCAAAGAGCTACGGACTCACGAAGTTCGCATGTAACACAGCCGGTCGTTTCGACAGGAGCGACCAGGTCACACGTAGTTGAGCAGCTCGCTGCAAGCAAACCACCACGCCGGTGGCCAGTCTGGTGTAACGCATGCTCACATGCTTCGCCTGCTGAGCCTACGGTCGGGGACTAACGGACAACTGCACAGCAAGTTCGCCGGTACCCCTTGCCCGCTGATTCGCCCAGATCAGCTTCCCATTCCAGTATGCTGCCACCTACGCACATTGCCTAAAGGGTCGGGACTAAGGACCCACTGCATGCAAGTTTCACAGTACCCCCGACCCGCTGATTTCGACTGGATCAGCCTGCGCAGCTGCCGCTCGCGCAGCCATCGTCATGCACATCGCTATATCCGCCTGCCGCTGTTGCAGCTCTCGAGTCAGTGCGCGAGTATGTGAAGCACGATCGGGCATAGCAGAGCCTAAAACCACGGGTAGGCCGGTACACCGAAAAGGGATGTCAGCACATTAAGTTGTTCCGTTTGCCCGCCATGCACGACAACACAAAGCCATTCATTGTACGTTTTTAGCGAAAACCAAGAGGATTCTTCCGATGATCGGGATCAGAGTTTGGGTTATGGAGGCAAAGAGCTACGGACTCACGAAGTTCGCATGTAACACAGCCGGTCGTTTCGACAGGAGCGACCAGGTCACACGTAGTTGAGCAGCTCACTGCAGCAACCACCACGCAGGTGGCCAGTCTGTGTACCATGCTCACTGCTTGCCGCTGCTTAGCCTACGGGTCGGGGACTACGGACCACTGCACAGCAAGTTCGCGGTAGCCCCTGGCCCGCTGATTCGCCCGGATCAGCTTCCCATTCAGTATGCTGCCACCTCACGCACATTGCCTAAAGGGTCGGGGACTAAGGACCACTGCGTAGCAAGTTCACAGTAGCCCCCGACCCGCTGATTCGACTGGATCAGCCTGCCAGCTGCCGCGCGCGCAGCCATCGTCATGCACATCGCTATATCCGCCTGCCGCTGTTGCAGCTCTCGAGTCAGTGCGCGAGTATGTGAAGCACGATCGGGCATAGCAGAGCTTAAAACCACGGATAGGCCGGTACACCGAAAATGGGGATGTCAATCTTATGTTGTTCCCGTTTGCCCGCCATGCACGACAACACAAATGTCACGGAGTCGGTGCGCGGGCGATTTCCCGCCACTGCTTAGGAGAACACTCTCCTGAGCTCCCTGAGCGTGTCGTTCTTCTGACCCGGCACTGGAGTGCGAGCGTGAGGTGAGGAATAAATCCCGTCTCGAATGCAACCGCTTGCTGTTGAGGTTGCGGTTGCTTGTAGGTCAGAGCCCATCGAAAGCCGACGGGCTGGCATCCCCCAAAAACGGGGGAACTGGCTGTCGCGGACCGCTGGCGGTCCCTAGTCGAAGCACGGGGTGTAAAGATAATTGCGCTTCCTGCCCGTTTTCGGGCTCCAGGGCAAGGCCTTGCTAGGCCGTGTCTAACACCATTCAGCCATGCACGACAACACAAATGTCACGGAGTCGGTGCGCGGGCGATTTCCCGCCACTGCTTAGGAGAACACTCTCCTGAGCTCCCTGAGCGTGTCGTTCTTCTGACCCGGCACTGGAGTGCGAGCGTGAGGTGAGGAATAAATCCCGTCTCGAATGCAACCGCTTGCTGTTGAGGTTGCGGTTGCTTGTAGGTCAGAGCCCTTTGAAAGCCGACGGGCTGGCAGCCCCCAAAAACGGGCAGCAAGGTTGTTAGGGCCAGGGACTACGGACCACTGCGTAGCAAGTTCGCGGTAGCCCCCGGCCCGCTGATTCGACCGGATCAGCTAGCCAGCCATACAGGTAGTAACCAAACTAGTGGGATTACGATGTACAATTGGACGCTAACTCTACCATGCTTCTGCTGCCACTCGTCCTGCTGCCCTGACCAAGCAGAGGAAAAAGGGCCACACTTTGTTGTGGCATCCTGGGGCCATCGCCAAGCGGGGATGGCAACCCAGCAAGCCGGTTTCATGTCGTTTTCGCGGTCTTGCTAAAAACTACGGCCGTCCAGACCGTTACGCGGGCCACTGGCATCAACATGCGACTGGAACGCTCACGGCATCCAACCTCGCAGGGGGAAGTCACCCCGATGGGGCGACGCCCCGTTTGTGCCGCTATCGCGCGGCACAGGTGCTAGTATGTGCAGAGAGGCAGCCATCTTCACAGGGGGGTCCCCCCCGAAGTGGCACTCAGCACGCAAGCATCGCAGGCTGCCTGCATGGGCTGGGGCCCCTGCCGCTTTGCCACACCTACGCTGGGGCTAAAGCTCCCAGTTCTGCCCGACCTGCCAGGGTCCCTGCACTAAGTGCAAGAGCCCCTGAATTCAGCGGCGGGGAAGCAATCGGGCCCACCTTGGGATCCGCTTCCTCCCCGGAGGGGAACCGCTGGGCAGTGCACGCCAGGAGTCAAATTGCGGACCACTGCTGCGGCAAGTTCGCTCCCCCAATATGGGATGCCACCCCGTAGGAACCCCGATTCGACAGGATCACTTTGGGGCATGGGGTGAGGAGGGGGTG